ATGGAGGGGGTACGGGTTATGATATTCTGGACCAGTTGGAGTTTATGGAGGGTTTTTTGAGGGAGGCCGAGAAGGAGAGAGTTGCAATAATCCAGGCGGGAAGTGACGAGACTGTGAACAAGGGTGGCGGCAGTGTGGGGGGTAAGGGAAGGGCGCAGGCGATTGATGTTGCTTAGGTGGAAGTAGGCAGTCCGGGTAATGTTATTGATGTGGGATTGAAAAGATAGTGTACTGTCCAGGATGACACCCAGGTTCTTGACTTGGGGGGAGGGTGAAACAGTGGAGTTGTCCATAGTGAGAGATGAGCTGTAGGTTTTGGATAAGGTGGATTTGGTGCCAATGAGGAGGACCTCAGTTTTATTGCTGTTTATAAAAGATCATAAAATCTGCTGTTTTACCCTGGTTTTGGCCTGTTTGGGGGGTCAGGCCTTGTGTAACATCCTGGTTACCCCTTAGCTGGGTTATAACAACATATAGACTAACATACCTTGACAATGCTAATGGGGATTGACTGTATCTTCAATTATAGTCACAGTAATGTGTTTAAATGTATATAAAATAGTTGTTTCAGTTGGACTGATGCATTAAATCAATATTTTTGAATAATATGTAAATCTACTGACCGCTCCAGACTAAAATTGGCCTGAGCATAATTTTCTATACATTAAAAGACACACATGTGGCTTTCCTTCATGGTATAATTGCCCTATTTTACAAGATGTGCTATTTAGTGGACAACACTGCAAAAAACATGGTAAGAACTTCACTGACTTTATGGTCGACTTATGTATTTGTCTGCAGGTCAAGGGTTTTATTTAAAAGCTCAGACAGAAGATAGAAAACAAAAGATGGTTTGTATACTAGCAAAAAAACACAAAACCACTAATGCTGTGACATAACAAATTACATCTAAAATTCTCACTTAATTTATTTATGAATATGACAATGAGTTTGTTTCATTTGCTGCTATAATGCCTATGTCAGAGGTGTGGCACTGGTTTGTGAGGCTTTTTTGATGTTTATATCCATCTATAATGCTGGCTCCATCAGGCTGAGTTCAGCTCCTCCACTGAGTCCATGGGGGTGTTTATTTCTCTTAGCTGATCAGATAGTATGAGAATTGTATGCCAATTGATGCCTTTCTCACATGCTTTGGATTCACTCCTGTGTATCATGCTGTGTTTCATTGTTTTTCCCCTCCTTCTGCCAGTACGGAAGTCATCTTTTTATCTCCTGTCCTTGACAGCCTGACAGCAATCAAGTCCCAGTGTTTACTCCTTTGTCTCACTGAGTCAATGTGATATCACAGCGCTATTCTTGTTCTTGTAAAGGGTAAAACATGTCTGTCACAGTACAGATTGCCTTGTAAGACTTTTCCTTGACTCCCTTATAAAAAACATCTGACTGTTTCTACATAATGAATATACAGTACAAGAGCAGGAAGGACATATTTATCTTTATTTGATTATGTGGTTAAAAACAGAGGACAATAACTCGACCAATCTATCCACCAAAACAGAGGATGAAGAAAAGGCTGTTTTTCCTCAGTGATACATTATTTTTCATTACAGGAACCCTTCCAACTTTATATCAGATTTTCTCATTCAAGCTCTGGAGTACATTTCATCATTTCTGAGATTCAGGGCTTTCCCCTTTACGACAGACTGCTTTTATTTATAGGATAAAGATCTCTCCCCTTCATGATGTCCTGTTCCTCATCAGCAATGATGTCTTTGATTCTTCTGTTTAAACTTCAGATGCAATAGTCCATTTTTGAATTTGCCATTTCCCATGAAACTGTCTAAGCTAATCCCCTTTGTCATACAGCAGCATATTAAATGTGATTAAAGTGTGAAGGCAGTGGCTCAGTGCTCCCTGAGAAATTTCATTGCACCTTGCGTAATGACAATAAAGCCAAGTCATCAAAATAAAAAAGGCAGGAACAAAGTTTTTCTCAACCCTAGGTTTCAAAACAGAAAGACGAAAGCATCATTGATTTAAATATTTCTGGAGTTTTCTATGTTGGTTTTTTAAGTTAAAGGATAACTCTTGGTTTCAAGACTGGAATTTTGTTTTTCTGCCTCTATTTTTTTTAAACTCTTAATCTGTTCATTTTTAAATCCATCTACATTCCCACCACTGTTTGCCCTGTTTCTTTTTTCTGCACATCTTAGAGTACTTGTAACTCCATCCTCTCTCTCTCTCTCTCTCTCTCTCTCTCTCTCTCTCTCCAGTGACAGCTGGCCTCTGCTTTCCCGCCAACAGACCAGCTGTCCATGCCAAGCAGAGGTATTTCAAAGTGTGTGTGTGTGTGTGTGTGTGTGTGTGTGTGTGCGCGCGCACAAGTGTGTGTGTGTTTTATATGGGTGGTTCCTTTTTGACAGTTTCTTTGTCTGTCTCCCACACACACACACACACACCTCAGAGACAGGAAGCAACTTGACACTCATTACTTATAGAGCCCCCTCCTCAGTTACTGCAGGAAGGTGAACATACACACTGAAAACTCAAAAAGACATACACTCAAGGAAAACACTGTGTTAACTTACTGCCCTCTATTTACCCTCTCTCATTCTGAGTCTTTACCTACAGTACGTTTGTTTAGATGTTTATCCACGTTCATGAAACAATATTATTATTCTTAGTAACATCGGTAACATGCAGCAACTGACTGTGCTGCAGTTTTTGCACAGAAGAGGGAAAAAGGTTGAAGATACGACAGCTGAAGAAGAGGATGGAGGACAAAAGCATCAGCTAACAAGTAGTGCAATTTTGGAGCTTGTGGTGCACGCATAGATTGTATATACTATGGACAACTTGGTTCCACCTACCACCTGTATATGGATGTGAAGCCAAATAGCTCTCAGTATTTCCGAGATTTTTCTTCATTTCCTGAAACCAGCACTGCGCAGTAGCAATGTGTGCATTCGGGCGCGCAGTCGCCGAGAGTCGCTGCGATGACGCTTGACTCAAACAGCGTATCCTCCCACTACACTCTGTTTGTCCGCAATTCTTTGAGGAACACAGACAGACCGTGCGCTGAGCCTTACCGCTTGCTTGCCTTATAGAAACAAGTAAAATCAGCCACTCACCATGGAACTCCAGCTGCATGACTCAGATGAGGATCTGTATGAAGAATGGTTCCAAGCCAGTTATCCTCCACCCAGAGAGCAGCAATCAAACCACAGCCACGCATCACAGTGGAGCCGCTCGTGCTCCATACACTCCTCGTATCCCCCTAAGTTTGAGAAGAAGTTAATGCCAGCCAAGTAGGTTTGAATGGTAGAGGATCACATTTATGGATGTTGTGAGTATGGGTTATGAATTGCAGATGGACACGATGTACAGAGAAGGGAAAGGCAACTGGTATGAGGAGTGGCACGACTTGAAGCAGTTCCAGCTTGCAAGATAAGCGGATAAATGATAGGAGCAAGACTGTTAGGTATTGCATCTCTTGAGGCGTTAGTGACGTTCATTAGTTGGGAAGTTCGTTGAATGTTTTGGCTGAAAACTGAAAGACTTGTGAGGGATGCAGATTGGACTCTGGGGCCAGATGTCTGAATTTTCTCATGGGGCAGAGTCCGTGCAGGGTGAATGAGGAAGATTGGGATTCTGTTTAAAGGTCTTTTATCTCTAGAAGCTAAGTGGAAGCGATCCATCTTTCCCTGTAGTAACCTCCGAAACCTATGGAGGGAGCTGCATCTTTGAACAGCTGAATATCTTTCGGTTGGTTATAAATCATCATAGAAGAAGCAAATGCCATTCTAAGAGGACTGAAAATGTTGTCACGTGCGTCTCCATTTTGCATGCCTCATTCAAGACCACTCTGTCGTGTAAGGAGAGAACGGCTGCAGCTTTCATCAGGAGATTAGTTAAAAAAGATTTTGCCTGAGGTATGATAAGAGTGGTGTAGTTGCGGTGGCTGAGGAGGGGCATTAACTGGTGTTTAGTGCATCTATCTTAACAGGTGAGCCGAGGTGCTGTGCTAGTCAGCTGACAGGTATAGTTGGGTTGTGTGGGCATGTGCTCCTGGCGTGAGCACTCCTGCTGAAAGAGCAGACATGTAGGGGGCGACAGTTGGAGAGGGTGCGGCTGTGGTGGTGAGGTTATTGCACACCGTCCTTTCATTTTGGTAAAGAATGGGCCTTTCTTTCTTGTCGACCCTTTTTAGCGTGGGGACATTGACAGCAGGTTGAATGTCTAAGGGCTTAGAAATGGTTGGAGATGGGGGTGACGAGCGGTTAAAGACTGTGGTGTTATGTGAGGCAGAAAAACTAAAAAAAGACCGGGTCGTGGCAGGGGGAAATGTTAAAGTGAATTCTACTGGTGTTAGGTCTTTGGACCTGGATGGAAGTAGGTCACAGAGCTGAACTGGACCAAAATTGGTTTGCAAATTCTTAAGTTGTCTTGGGTCGATTGCGGATGAATTAGGTAGCTGTGCTAGGTCTACGTAATTACCAGTGAGAATTTGTGGGCATAATGCTAGTGATATGTAAGAAGGATGGTTGGTGGATGAGGCTGGTTGGATAGGTGGAGCGGGCAGCTGTGTCTAATGTGTAATTGTGTACAGGAGGTGGGAATACATTTGGGTATTGGGGAAGGGAGAGGGTTGGAAAGGGGACGAAGGGTTGACAGAATAGATGAGCAGGAAATGGGGGAGGTTGAAGATAGCAAGTGTTAGGAGTTGGTAGAGGGCTCTATGGAGAGCTGAGGAACTGGCTATGGTGGGAAGAGAGGGAACAGAAGCCATATCACTGTATGTGCAAGGGAATTTTGTGCAGCCTGCGAACTCAGGGAAGTAAAGAAAGCTGTGATGGCTTGGGAGAAGTCAGACACAGAGGGAGCAGGCACAGGTGGTGATATGACCTGATCCCCACCAGGGGGAGCTGATAAGGCAGGTGGCGGTTGAGGGAGCTGCTCCATAACGCCATGTATGATGTTTCTGGCATCGATTGGCTCTGGTTAGGAAGCAGGAAGCGCAGGCTTTTCGGCCACTGTAGCTACGGTGTCGTGGAGGAATTGTAGAGCAATAGCCTTGCGGAGGCAGGTGACGGTCTGTTGCTGATGTCATCCTCGGATCGTAAGTACAGAGTCGGCCTTCTTGGCGAGGCTACACCGCAGCATGCTAGATTGCCGGTGGCTGATCGGTGAGAGTGGCATGGTGGAGAGCAGATTAGGTTGCTGAGATTGTAGTTCCTCTGGTCTGTGATCTTCTTGGTGGGAATGAGGCCGGGGATCGGATGGGAACCATCAGGATGATGTTTTGGGAAGTGCATGGAGCACGAGCGGCTCCACTGTGATGCGTGGCTGTGGTTTGATTGCTGCTCTCTGGGTGGAGGATAACTGGCTTGGAACCATTCTTCATACAGATCCTCATCTGAGTCATGCAGCTGGAGTTCCATGGTGAGTGGCTGATTTTACTTGTTTCTATAAGGCAAGCAAGCGGTAAGGCTCAGCGCACGGTCTGTCTGTGTTCCTCAAAGAATTGCGGACAAACAGAGTGTAGTGGGATGGATGTGTATATGTAGGCTAATCAGGTGATTGGAGGTGTGGGGAAGGCGTGGTCTTGCTCCTGAACCTAAGTTGATATATTAACTTCATTTGTGAAGAGCTGGGTGTTGGGCTAAATTCTTGGTTATGCAGAGGCCCAAACCATCAGGCTTTTCACTTTACTCCTAGCAGGTGTAAAATCCCCATGAATACTGGTGGTGATGGCATATTTAATTGCACAGATAATTTCATCTGTACACTAGAGTACCTCTATACATATATATAATATCATGGTATATCATTAGTTATTTTGCCACCTTACTTATTTTGCATCACTGTTGTAGTTTTCCCCTGTTTCTAAGCATGAGTGCAAACACTCTGTACAGAAACAAGCTTCTCTCTGATTGGCTACTGAAGGTGTATGTCACATGTCTGTGACAGTATTTAAGTCGATTTGAGAGTCACAGTCTCCTAGTTAAGTTTGTCATCAAATAATGGTACAATTTAAGCTAACAAGTTCAAAAATGTAGGATGCTGCATGGACTCAACTCAAAGATCACAGATCATGATAAACTCCACCCTCCTCAAATTCAGCCATACTTAGCCGATAAGTGCTTCTATGTGTGTCTCTCTGCAAACAAACTGAGCCAACAGTGAGAAAACTCCCATGGGGCTTTTGGGTGAAAGTGTAGCATGAATGTTTTATAAAAGCCTTGATATCCATAAGTTGATCATGATTTCTGTCAGCCAATCAGCATGCTTGTGTCTGTATGTGTGTTATTTTAGAAAACACAGTTTGTTCTTCTATAAAGCAAATGTTTACAGGTTTCTGTTTCACAACATCTGAAAAATCCAGAGTGAGAACTTAGTATGAAGATACTGCATGTTAGCGTGCGCACACACACACACACACACACACACACACACACACACACACACACACACACACTTTGACAAACACAAACGCTTACACAGATACAGTCAACAGTAAACCACATCCAGATCCCTGGTTGTACACTCCAACTGACGGCAGCTGTGTTCGTTAACCCCTCGACACTGAAACATTACAACATGGCTAACCACATACACACATACACTCATAGGCAGACACACACAAACACTGTACGCACACAGAGGAAGAATTGAAACACCCGTTGCATCTTGTTAACTGCTCTGATTATCAAGTGAAGCAATGGTTGTGGGCAAAGCAGCTCGTTTTCTTATCAACAAGACAAAACCTCTCTCATGCACACAAAAACCCACCAACACTTAACACACACACATAGGCAGACACACTATTTCATGTGAATGGCACACATGAAAACACACTCACACAGGGATGCAGTGTACAAGGTTATGTTTGTTTTTATGTCCGCCATCAAGGTTTGTGTTATGCCACTGTGTGTTTGGTCTGCAACCTGTTGACAGGAAACATGCGTGATTGTGAACACAATCACAATTTGTGTAGGATGCCTCCTTCAGACGTAAGTTCTATATTTCAGGACAGGTGTCGGTGGGTCAGCTGGATGATGGTATTACTCTGTGTGCAGGTTGATGACACAAAAACACACAAAGCAGAGATCTCTTATTTAATGCTGAGTCTCTTGAGGTGGACATTTTTACATTCTCCCCTCTCAATGACAGCAAACTCTGATATATGTCACTGCTATCACATTTGCTTCCATCTGGTTTTGTGACACTGTCACATGATGTTATATCGTATACTGAGACACCTGTGTTGGCAGCAGTTTTGCAAAATCAGTGCAAACATAGAAAAGTTTTGTTTTGGTGTCAGCTGCTGTGACTATTAATACATGGGCCCAAGCGTATTATCTGCACATGATAATGTAGTTTTATCCCTAGGCACCAACACTTGAGCAGGTATGATGCTCTGTGCTGCTTTCCACTGTCCACAATCAACACTATTTTTCCAAGCACAGAGAGACTGACTGGACTTATTGTTGATTATCAGGGTCAGTGTGAAAAACAGTCCCTCAACAATGACAGTAGAGAGGGAAATCCAGTCCACTGCTGCATTCACCGTGAGTCTGTATTGTAGAGAAAGAGGGCAGGAATTCCAGAGGGAATTAATGTTTGTTATGGTAATGACTCTGTTAGATATGGCTGGATGGATGCATCCATAAACACCACCATTTCTCAGATGTGTTGAAGATGAAGCTGCTGAGTTGAACCAGAAACAGTTCAAAAGTAACTGAAGAAATCATGTGTTTCCTGTTTTTATTCCCCCTTTGATCAGTTGTATTTGCCATGCAATGTTAAGCATTTAAGTATGAAATATTCTTCTCCAATCCACAGACTAAATCAAACATGTACTTAAAACTTGCATTCTGTCTCATGGCTTGCAGGGGGGCTTCACTTGTTACGAAAGACAAATCAAATGAAACAGGGTTGGAAATATGATCTTAAACTGAAATGGGCTAAGTTTGCAGTCTTTGTGGCTAGATCCCAGTCCTCTTTCCAGCTTGATGCTCATTTGTAAGTAAAACTGGCTTAAGTAGGTCCTGATTAAGACCGTGATTTTCTCCTTACAGGCTTATCATCAAGGATAGAGACGTAATAGTAGGTATCTACAGCATCTGCCAAATATGGTCACTGCTGTTTCAGGTCCTATAATGCACTTCAAATTGGCTGTAATAGAAAAGGTTACCATGACCATTCTGTCAATGACACTTTCTCAATTTCAGAATTTGCTTACAGACATAATGTGAGAAGCTGTTGTTGTGGATTGTTGTTTGCAATACTCTCTGAGACCACCTCAGACCCTCTTCACAGTTTCCACAGCTTTTCAGCAGCTGAATGGGAACCCTGAGAGGGACAATGAGGCTATGTTCAGAATTATAAAGGGATGATGACTTCTAACCTTTTGGACTTCATATTATCCTGCTCAGGCTGAAATTCCCAGAATACTTCCGTACAATGCACAGAAGAAAAAACAGAAGCTGTTTCTTTAATTTCCTCAGTACAAGATGCTCTTCTTTCTTTTTCTTCTTTTTTTGACTTTAAAGTTTTTAATAAGAAAATTTGATCAAGTGTCATGTGCATTTAAACTTTTGTATGTTATCGCCTTGTTGCCTTTTCAGACCATAGAACACTGACAGAAAACCCCCTCTAAGTCAGATTTTATGACAAAGCTCATGTCTCGCACCAAACAAGGAACAAAATGTACATTTTTTCAGCTGGCATTAAACATATGGCATGTCGTTATTAAGTTTAGCGTGTACGTTTCACTTTATCAAATCAACTGTCCTCTCGTGCTGGAGGGAAAGTCCATCACAGGGGACTTCCATAAGCATAACATTCATGTTCAGACTGTAATTCGAAACAGAGGCGCTGAACAAACTGTGCTACAGAGAAGTTTGTCACACAGGTGTTGGAACATAAAGCTCACTGTTTGCTGATGCAGTTCGATTCAGTTTGATTTGATTCACAGCAGATGCATGAATGTTCAGACTTGTGCTGTGGGATATGTTTCCACGCCTGCCACATGACTTCAGTGTTCAACGTTTCCACGCTGAGGACACAGAAACCTTCACGATCATTTATGTCCCCCACCAAACTGAACTATGAACAAATCCCTTTAAAAGATCAGACCCCCTCCTGTCTGTCTGCTCCTACCTATATGATGTAATCCACAAACAAAGGAGTGTGAGCCACCGACAGCTGAGGGTTCAAGAGGTGCGCACACACACGATTACATTCACACACAAACACACACACGCAAACACACAAGCACGCACACACAGCAGCTCCAGTTAAAACAACATGGCAGCAGCTGCTGAGGAGACTGCTCTCTTTTAGCACCTACAACACCTCTCCTACTCAGACTCAGTGTGTGTGTGTGTGTGTGTGTGTGCGTGTGTGCGTGCGTGCGTGCGTGTGTGTGTGTGTGTGTGTAACACTTCACACTATATCAGAAGACTGGAGACTGGGGTTGTCTGGAGTGAACAAGGTCCAGTCTGTCTCACACACACACCATAGCAACCGTCCACCAGTTGTGGCAGTTGACAGTTTGGAGGTGTGTGTGTGTGTGTGTGTGTGTGTGTGTGTGTCTGTCTGTCTGTTTGTAGTGTATGTCTCAAAGGTTAGCATTTGTCTTTCCACACATTTGTGGGAATGTTTGTGTGTCTGCACAGCATACTCAGCATGTTATGCACAGTGTCATACATTTGCACTAACATTTGCAGACACACTTAAAGCTTGTGGAGCTGTTGATTACATTTCCTTGTCTCTGAGTCACCATTTGTGTAGTTCAGACTCATTCGGATTTTAAGCGGATGGTGTTGCATGATATTTGTCAAAAGATAAAAGTGCAAACCTGAGTATAAACCCTTGAGCATTCACACCTTCAAGGTGGAAAATTTTTGCTCCTGTTGAACCTTGTCTGCAGTTTGTAATGTCTCTCTGGTGAGGCAAAGTTGCTCCATCACTGATCCGCCATCAGTAAGCTGCGATGGAGGCAAAATTATCATGCAGTTTTAGAAATTGATTAGGTCAACTACAAAACATGTGAACACAAATGTCTGGCTGAGATCACACTTTTCTCTATCATGTAAACACCTCAGTTGGACTGAAACTGGTCTACACATCCTGCACCTGCACAAGTGTTTGCACGCTGATCTGTAGGTTGAATACTATTAATGTGTTGCTGGGAAGACAGGCAGTGAACAAAATGTAAATAGTGAGGGATGGGATGGTCAAGTCAAGCTACAGTTATAGCTCAATTAGGTGATTTACCTGGATTACCATCCTTGTCCAAGTTTACATACACTGGGGCAAGAATTCAATTCTTGAACAAAGCATGTCCTCCTCCACTATACTTTGTGGGGACATGCCCCCTTTCAGAATGCTTTTTTTAGAATGCTTTAGAAAGTCATGTTTGTTTGTATAATAG